AACAATTGCTGTTTGACAGGTGAAATTGGTGATAAATATTATGGAAGAAAGAAAAGGTAGTATTTAATTTTCTTTTTAACCCCATAGAAAGCGAGAGAGCGCGCGCGCCGAGCGTTTCTATGGGGTTAAAAAATTCTCACTGCATATAAAATGTCACACTATATGCAGTGAACTTTGAATATTCACTGTATATAAAATGAGACACTATATACAGTTAACGTAACAAAAGTTCACTGTATATAGTGTGACATTTCTATTGACTAGTTCGAGAGGAGAGTATGTGAAAAAATTCTAATATATTTTGAAAGAGGAGAGTATATTTTCTGATGATTCTGTTGGCGTTAAAGAAGAGTATGTTGTAGTACCGTCTAGCCTCTGCGGTCTTCACAGTTTCCGCGTAACTGATAAGAGATAACAACATGGTGTCTTCGGCAAAGTTGTAGTACTCGAGGTCTTCTATAACATTGCTGAAGACATCTATCTCTTATCTCCTATCAGTTGCGCGCAAATCGCGCACATAAAAATGCAAATTTTATATAGAACTTTTTTTTTCTTATCATTTTTCGCGCTTTTCGCGGAACTGATAAGAGATAAGAGATAATTGACTTCAGCAATGTAATAGAAGACCTCGAGTGCTACAACTTTGCCGAAGACACCAAGTTGTTATCTCTTATCAGTTCCGCGGAAACCGTGGAAAACCGCGAGGACCCGCCAAAAATGAACATACTCGCCTTTAACCATTTTTGAGTCGAAAGAAACTTACTCTTCTCTTTCATAACAAAGTCAGATGAACTTACTCTCCTCTCGATCTAGTCAATTGATTTTATATGCAGGAAAACTCACTGTATATAGTGGCTGCCCATCTTTTAGCATTAGTGGCCCTACATTATGGAATCGAATTCCCGACGAAATTCGCAATATTGAGAAGAAAAAACAATTTATGAATAGATTTAAAATACATCTTGAAAATGAAAAATAAATTTTATACACGAAAGTAGCTATAAGAAAAATGTAACAATGATAATTGGCCTTCGTGGCAGCATGTATTTGTGTTTACACATTTACCGTATGACATAAAGAAGAATAATAATAAATGCAATGAAAAACTCCAAAATGGCTTCATTCCGCAATGTTTTCTCGGTTGTTTTCATAGTTGTGGTGGTAGCATCTTTGTAAGCATTTCATATCAGAAGAACAATAAAATTATCATTCTAAAGATTGAAATTGAACTCCACACACACGTGTGCAAGGGGGGGGGGGGGGTATTCCAGTTTTACCCCCCTCCAGGATTCCAAAATGTGGACCCCCCTCGAGTGATTTGGAAAATTTTACACTAGATATAATCGATTTTCAAAAGTGGGGACCTTGTTTTTAGGTATTCATTTTTTTTGACACCCATTTATAAATTTTCACCCCCCCTCTGGCAAAATCATTTTAAGCCCCCCCTTGAATTTTTGACCTTGCACACGTCTGACTCCACACTTTCTTAAGCTGGAAGTACAATTTTTTCTTGAATTTAATATTTCAGGTCGGAGGGTGGAGCTGTAATAACCTCAAGCAGAGACATCCCAGACACTCATATAGATGAGTTAAAAGAAAAATTCAGTGACATAAAATTTACACGTTACGCTCAGAAAAACGGCAAATATGTAACAAATCCTATAAATTAAAGTGCCGCAAATGATCGTCGAATTTTCACAGAGACCGAAGTTAAAAGAACACTCCGGAGCTCTCATGTATCACCAACTGTGAAGGCAAAGTTGATGTATTTTTCTTAAGGCGAAGACAAAGAACCAAATATTAAAATCTATAAGCGTGATGATGGGCAGGAATTACAACCAGGAGAAAATTATGCAATTCAAAATATTGGGCATGCGACTCAGTTGATTCAACTCCCCAGCTTTAATATCTTAACCGATCCAGTGTTCAATGATCTATCTAAAATGTTGTATTCCGAAAGGACCGAATCCTATCCGAATATTGAGAGTCTCCCAAAAATTGATGTTATCATCATTTCGCAGAATCATCGTGATCACGTCGACATGGATTCGTTGAAAAACTCCTAGAACATCAAAAAACAGGCAAGAATTCAGAGCCGAAGTAATTCGTGCCGTTAAAAAATGGTTTGAGATATTTAAACCGAATGAAATCGTTGAATTTGATTGGTATATAAAAAAATCGATTGGACCGATTAACTTCATTAGCATTCCAGCGTACAGATTTACATTTTCGATATGTTATTAATATGTTATTGCCCGACATATTTATTATTATGTTATGTTGGGATTTTTTTAATCTTAATAACGTTATTAAGATTCAGCATAATAATAACATAATATGTTATGCGTTATATCGGGTGTTATCTTAATAAATCCTAAGATTTGGCGGTAATAACATTTTATTAACTATAATAATAACATATTATTAAGATGGATTTTATTAATTCAATTAATAACATATTATTAAGATGCAATCTTAATAACGCTTTTTTCGCGCATTCTTTTCCCTAGCTGGAGAGAAAACAAGCACTGTACGGTGTACACACCTATAACAATGCAGACAAAATATGGTAAATTGATCCTTTCAATGTCGGGACTGGCGATTTCCTAAACTTAATGGTTAAGTTCAATACATGATAATTCCGTTTCAAAGAGTCATTTTAATTTCATTGCAACAGTGCAAAAATTCATGTGTGTACTCCGCAGTGAAAAAACAACTTGTCAGTACTCCGGCGAAAAAATGCGCGAAAAAAGCGTTATTAAGATTATATCTTAATAATATGTTATTATTATAGTTAATAATATATTATTAGCGCCGAATCATAGGATTTATTAAAAAAAAATCCAACATATTTCGTAACATATTATGTTATGTTGGACCAATATATCGGCCGTTATTATTATGCAATTAAGTATAGTTAATAATATGTTATTGCCTGTAAATCTGTATTCTAGCGAATCATCGTTCTGGTCGAAATGGATTTTATAATCAAAAATCATTGGTTATTGGCTGGATCATAAATCTGGTGGATCAAAATGTAATATTTAAAAATTCCGGCGATAGAAAATCAACGAAGCGGCGAAAAACAATGGAGCCGTTTCAATTCCGGATATTATTTGTTTAGAGCCAAGCGGTCCGACGTATACACGTAGTGACATGGGCATGACTCATCAATCTGCTTCATATAGTGCTCTATTGAAATTTATTGATGCTAAAAATCTGGCCTGTTTCAGCGGTAAAACCATCGAGGACATGTTAAAGAGAATCAAAACCGTAATGATGCATCACAATAAATTTGAACTCGGAACGGATCGATTTAACGAAGGACTGTTTGTGGTTAAAAAAATTTGGGGCTATTTGAGTCTAAACGAACATCAACTCAATCAAGAGCTGGCTAAAGAGAAGCAGAAATTGGAACTGAATTTGGATCGGAAAAAATTATTGGAATTAACTCCAATTACAACCAGGCCTATTATTTCTACTTTATCTAAACAAACGTCACTTTTAGTTCGGGCCACAGATTTTATTATCGAAGAAATCAAAAATTTAACCCAGAAAATTAAAGCCATGAGTCAAAAGCAAATACAGGAATATTTAGTTAAGAATAATAGAGTTTCCCAAAATTGGGGAATGATTGAATTCCGATAAATTGAAGAATTCAAAGTTTAACGCAGAAAGTATAGAAATACCGCAAGACCTTTAAATAAATAAGATGAAATAACCATCAATTCAGTTTTTAGAGATTATTCTGGCCACACATCATTCAGATACTAACCACAGCATGAAAATGTAGTTACCGTAGAGATAAGCCAAATATTAGTGAGATATTACCACAAAATAAATAGAGATGTGCTATGTTACCGTCTTAGTAGCGGAAAAACCATTTCTATAACAACAGTTTTTGTTTCAAATAACTGTTATCTTTTGACAATAAAAGCGAAAATGCAATTCAGACAGAAAAAATATTTATCCATATTTATTATTATGCATTATTTGCGTTGTTCAAAACGGAAGAATTGACGAGTCCCATAGAAAATCGTTTGCATTGAATGAACTATACATACGTGTTTGTACAATACCCACAAAAATCAAACACTGGTAAGAATGAATATCAATTGTATGTTTAAAGTGACGAATTTCCCAATTGCGAGCAATTTTATCAATGAAAATGTGTTCTCAAAATCTAATCTATGGTTTCGTCTCTCCCCACAAAATGTCAGTTCTGCCATCTTTTAAGTTGCTTCAACAATAGTTTTTTTTTCATCTCATTCATCTTTCCAACAGAATTATCAAAGAAAAAAGGTTTGACGAATTTTCTTGACTCGACAATCCGAATGTTGATGCGAAAAAAAACATCTAACGTTGGTACTCAAAACAAATTGAGAATCAAAATTATGAAAACCCCATGCACTCAGCCTCAATTTTTACTGACACAGAGTATGTATCAATGCGATCATTATCGAATTAACTCAATGAAACATATAACAAGTGCGGTTTGCCAGTGTGATCCGAGCAATCAAGAACACAGAATAGAAAGATTCATCTATACAATATTTCTTCAATTTTCTCAACATTTCTACTAAAATTCAAGAAAGATAATTTGCTTCTGTTCTATAACAATATTTCAAAAGATTTATTCCAACAAACAATCATTGGTGAGTTGTAAAAGATAAAAAAACTTACGAAATAAAAGAAAGTACCAATAATCTTGTGATAACGAAGGCAAAATAATGTATGTGACCGGCCAAAGCGAAAAGTTCTTTTAGCATTAAATGTGAAATAAATTTCATTTATAAATTTACATTCGAATGAGGAGGTTCAGTATTTTTTGAAAAGTTGTCAATACTTAAGAGTAATTATTATTTGTGACGTATATAGCAGATATATATATAGGTCGTTATCTTTTATGCGACATCCGTTCTCAATTGCATGGTTAATTTTAACAATAGATTCTATCACATTTAGTACTGTAGAGTACTATTTTGAGCGTCTAACCAGTAAAATGAACGACGAAGCGAAGCAACGATGCGTAATTTTCGATACGGATATGGGAGCTGACGATGCCTGGGCACTGCAAATGATCCTAAAGGCAGAGAAATCCAGGGAAAACGTCAAAGTGCTTGCGATTACAACGGTGCATGGAAATGCAACGGTTGAAAATGTAATCAAAAATACTTATCGCATCTTGGACGGTCTTGATCGCACTGATGTAAGAACCATAGTACTTATTTTTTCTATCGATTTGTTTAAAATAACAATTCTTTTCAACAGATCCCAATCTATAAAGGTGCAACCGAACCATTGATCCCTGAAGAGACGAAAATTGGTATGAGTTTCGGATCAAACGGATTTTGTGACGTTGAATTTTGGAAACCCCATTACCCAACCGATATCAATGAAATAATTCAACGGCAAAATGCGGTTGAAATCATTCGTGAATTAGTGATTGAGGTAAATTTTTTGATTTTTTTTAATTTTCTAATATGTATTTTTTTAATTTATGTCTTTCAATCCATTCCGTTTACTGCGCGTTTTAGCATCCTCACGAAATATCCCTCATTTGTCTCGGGCCATTAACTAACATCGCTATGGCTATCAAAACATATCCAGAAATAAAGAAAGATATCAAAGACGTTTTTATTATGGGTGGCAATTGCAAAGGTTTGATCGATTTTTTTATCTTGTGTTTGGAGTAGTGTTCGCATTTGGGGGATTGTCGGGTCCGTGTAGGGGCCTCTCACATTAGAGCAAAACGCAATTTACACTTTGAAACTATAATAATTTTTGGAGACATTCAAAATTTCAACAAAAAAATTCATCCTAGGTGGCACTATATTAAAGACAAATGAACTATTTGTCAGGGGTTCAAATCCCAAAACCCCGAGATTAGACAATCATCTACAGTTTTTGTGGATTTTCTCGAGAAGAGTGCACGTCGCCTAAAACAAAATCTTATTTGGTATATTTGTGTTTAGTTATAATGTTTATTCAATTTCAAACATTTTCACGGACCGTTTCTGGATTCAAACCCCGACTGCGAATACTAGTTTGAAGTTCAATAGTTGGTAACATCTACACTTGTGCCAATTTTTCGACTATGGTGATTAGACTTTAGTTACTTGATTATTTTTTTCCATACAATATATGGAAGTATAGTAATTGAAACAGTTAACTATTTTGGGAAATTTTGTTTAGATGTTTGCTCGTACTATGATGTCTATGATTGAAATTTCAGATGACTAGCTAACTAGTAGTCATTATTTTTTCCACAAAGATATACATATTATAGCATTGTAGTAACTTGATATAAAAACTAAGACATTCTTTCTTGCGCTGGCATTGGGAATTTCAGGAAGAGGAAATGCATTGGCTGGATCTGAATTTAATTTTTATATGGATCCAGAAGCAGCGAATATCGCTTTAAATTCACTAAAATGCCCGATGACAATAGTACCCTTAGAATGTGCATCAGAAATAGACATATCATTGGTATACACGTTTTTTGAAAGTAGGTAATTGCATATATTCCAAGAAATACGATTTGTTTTCTTTTAGGATTGGAGATTTAATGTGTTGGGAAGCGTTGACCATACAAACGTACAACTACTGAATGAAATTGAGCAAATTGCATATCGTGGCAAACAATTTTACACACCATTTGACTCGTTATTAGTCGCAGTTTTTCTTTTCCCAGAAAAATGCATTCAAACAAAATACAATTATCACGCTACAGTTGAGCTACAAGGTCTTCACACTCGCGGTCAAATCGTTTTCAATTTAAACAGCAGCAAACACAATGTTTGTGTCATCGAAACGGTATACCAAGAAGAAACGAAAACTTTGCTACTGTGGGCTGCAAACGCATAACGGATCAACAATTCACATCATATCTTAAAACCAATTATAAGAGTAATGGGAGAAAAAATTTGTATATTCAAAATGATAAATAAATAAAAAGAATTACATTCGTTATCCCGAACTTTTCCGTACCGTTGTCCGTCCTTTTGGTTTGTTCTGTGAATTTTCTTGAAATAAAGGCAGTGAAAAATCGGCCTATTATAGTCGAAATTTAGACGATTTTGCATGGAAGGTACGTACCCATAAATCGACTCCGATTGGCTCAAAACTTTCTGAGGTTTCATTTTTTGGCAAAAAAATTAGATTTTGAAAGTTTCATGTTGATTACATTGTCGAAAGTTTGGTTTTTGGTCCTCAATTTTCTCCAATGAAATTTCGACAAAAATTGAGGGCCACAAATCAAACTTGTGCAAATTCGATCAACATGAAACTTTCAGAATCTTATTTTTTCTCCAAAAAATGTTACCTCAGAAAATTTGAATCCAATCGGAATCGATTTACCATGTAAAATTGTCGAAAAATCGATAATTTTTGTCAAACAATCGAAAATTTTGTATGGGAGGTAAATCATTACCCGTAAATCATTTCTCCCAAAAAATGAAACTCCAGAAAGTTTGAAGCCATTCGGAGTCGATTTTCGGGTACCTCCCATACAAAATTGTCATTTTTTTGAGTCTTTTCTTAGGGCAAGTACCCCAGGATAAAGTCGAAAATGGCTCATTTTCGAACTTAAACTAATTTTTTCGGATACAAAACTTTTGGCATTTCCAGATTTTGATAATCTCAATTATTTTTTGAGTTATCGTGTTAACAAACACCAACGCCGTCGTCGAACGGAAAAGTGTCTCAAAAAGTGGTTTTCTACGCGTTTCATGAGTTTTTATGATGATCTGAACCAATTTTGCGAAAAAAGTTTTCGGGACCAATTCCTATACTTTCCCTTGACACGTTGTGTACGGAAAAGTAAAATCCATGATCCAAGACTAATAACAAAATGTATTACACAATCACAATAGGTAGTGTTTATAAATGGATAGATCCTAACAAAGAATGTGAAATTCAATCTTGGCATCTCTGTAAAAGGGTCTACTGGAACTAAATCCAGTTCTAATTGTGTCGAAATGATGACGAATAAAAGCCAAAAGTTTGTAATTATTGATACCGAACCGATGACGTCTGGGCAATGCCCACTGGTGATTATTGAAGATAATCTTGGAAAATAGATGCAAAGTGTTAACGTGCTTGCGAATACAGCGGCCAATGGAATACAACTGTCGAAAATGTGGTTAAAAATGCTTATCGCATATTGAATGGTGCAAATCGCAAAGATGTAAGTGATTTAAAGAATAAATCATATGCTATTTTTTCACTTGATGCTAATTTACAAGAAAGCAACTGAGCCACTCATTCACGATTATTCAGAAGTCAAATACTTTGGTTCAAATGGATTTATAGGTGTAGGTGTTTGGAAACCGAGTTTCTAAAAGAAGAAAGCCGTTGAAATCATCCAAGGATTTACTGTATTGCCATTTTCATTCTCACAGCCTCAATTAGTCGATACAAATATATTGATGATTGTCAGGTGCTCGCCAAGTCACTGAATTTCCATACAAGCCATACCCGATCCATTTGTATTGTGTAGCAGCGAATCGATCATGCGACGTTGTGGTTATTGATTTTAATTGGCGCTAATTGAAGCGAGTATATAACAAAGTCGAACACAAATTTATTATGTATTGCCTTGTTCATTGGAATGGATGTGATTTTATGATTTGTCAGTCTTTTAATGGCCACAAAGGCTGTAACAAGTGAAATCCAAAGAATTTGCATCGTGTATGAACCGTGTAAATCATTTAGTTTGCATGAAATACGAGGGTAATAAAAAGTTTAAGTGGAATTCACACAATCCATTCTTGACACGCAAACCGATACCAACCACGATTAGAATGTTGTAAAACGGTATTCCAAAGCATAGAGCGAGAAAAGTGCACAGTCGCTTCCACCTACATTGCGCGAGACCGCAAATTGCTTCAAATCTTCCACCCGAAATTCCGGTTGATGAAACAAAAAGGAACAAAAAAGAACAAAAATAGTTTACACACTTAACGCTTGTTATTGAATGCGCGGGCGCAACGACACTTTTTTCACTGCAAACGATTTCAATTGTAATCGCGAGTGTTAGCGATAACAGATACATTTGCGAACGTGGGCGCTCGCACGTCTAACACACCGCAAACACCGGCTCTGCAAAAGTGTGAAACCGTATCGAACGTGTGTATTGTTTGCACACATTCGTGTGTTTTTGTTACATTGTTGTTTTTTTTTTGTCGTTGTCTATCTGTGGCCGTGATGATAGCAAGAGAGTTTAATCGAATTGCGTATGTCTTGTGTTGCGCTTTCGAACACAATTAATCATCAACAAGTACCTTTTCCGACTTATAAACACATTTGACTCAATTTATTCCATGTGACACTTCGTCTCTATCATTTGTTCATTTATTGTCGTCGTTTTAAATTCGAAAAGGTCTCTCTTTGTACTGGATCATTGGCTGTGTCTTGTCTCTCTTTACCCAATTACTAATACCAAAAATGGGAGCGCCGATATGAAGTAGATGATATAATTCGGTCGACTGAAAAACAACAATAAAATACGCTCAGTTTCAACAGAGAAACAACAGAAAAAAAGATGGTCAAAGATCGACTAGAGGAATTGAAAAGGGTAAAATCCGAAAGGAGAGTGCTTTCAAATTGAATAAATGAATTATAGTGTTTAATTTACAGCTGTGCAATTGTCCACCGAACAATATACGAGACACAATCATCGATATCAAAGCCAACAAAATTGAACTACAAATTGAAGATATTCTCAGTGAAGTGAGTGTTTTGTGAAAGATTTATTATTTCAAAAATTCGGCTTCATATTTTTTTATGGAAAAAGCTCTTTGTTTTATAAATTATCATAACTTTGTCATTTCCATTTTTCATTATTATTTCTTTTGGTTTTTTTAATTAATTTCGATTCAACTTTTGGAAATGATAATATTTTTTGTTCTATTTTCATGTTGTATCTCATGGTGTCGTTATCTCACAAGTACACAAAAATTCGACAATGGATCCAAACAATTCGCGAGAATATCGAAACGATGAAGCGTTACATACGCGAAATGTCGCAAACATTTCAATCAACGTCACAGAAAAGTGAGTGCATATTGAATAATGCTCGATTTACTCCACACAAAAAAATGATGTGTTGTTAATTGCCCAACCCAATTTAATGTGTTGTTATTTCTCGGTTAACATTTTTGTTTAAAAACCCAAGCATTGCCTGAAAATATGGAGAAACTCCGTTTAGAAAATATGTCTCTGTGCCAACGAGTTTATTCGCATATGAAGGAACAAGAGATCGATATGCCAACAGCTGATGATTGCAGTGTTATAGCTCGAGTAAAACGGTTGCATTTCTACTCGGTTCGTGAGGAATTCATTGTGGTTTGGAAGCATCACGAGCAATTCTTGTCCGATTATGAGGAACGTGTGAAGAAAACAATTCAACGTCACGCAAAAATCGGTAAATATATGACGCGAAAAAAAAATTGAAATTGGATTAAACCAGTCCAATTTGAAAAAAAGTTGAATCAATTTGTATTTATTTAAACGATTCAAGTTGACGCATACATCACGGAGGAGGAAACCGAATCGCTCATTGCAAATAAGACTACGTCAATATTTGTGGGGAATGTGAGCTCATTCAGATGAATACTTCCACACAATTACCATATCTGTATTTGATACTGAACGACAAAAAAATGCTTCTCTTTATTTTAAGCTGCTTGAGCAAGCTGAGTCAGAGCGCAACAAGCTACGTGAGTTACTCGTTAGGCATTCCGAGCTAGAAAAGGTAGAACGGTCGTTAATTGAAGTGCGTGATATGTTCCTAAGAATTTCAGCCTTAGTCATCGAACAGGTAAATAATTCGTCTCATTCAAGCCAAATGACCTTTTGAGTATGAGTTTGAACTTTTAGAGCCCATTGATTAGTCAAATTGAGTACTTTGCTCATCAAGCCACATTGAATATAGACAAGGGTGCTGAAAAACTGGAAAAAGCACGTGAAATGAAAATCAAACGGATGAAAGTAAATCAAATTTATAGTGCATTTATTTCAATTTTACTAGGTTCTTTGTAAACATAAACATTTTTTTTTCGTTTTCATTTCAGTGGAAAATCTGGTTTCTCTTCTGGTTAACCATTATTCTAACCTTGATTATTTTAATTCTTATATTTGTCGATTAAATTTGCATGGAAAATAAACGTTTCGCAACTTTATTTTCATTCTCGAATATTGTGTTTTGAACTAGAGCCGTTCATATATTTTTTATTTTTAGTTCAATTTTTTTTTAATTTTTTGACTGAAAACGTGTTAATTTGGTGATAAAAATTCACAAGAAAAAACAATACTGTGTGTATACGACGAACGAATGAAAAACACAACTCTGTATCGGATGTGCTACTCACGATTCAGGCATTACGTATAGAATAAATTGGCGCTACGACGCCCATTGATACTTGATAACTAAATACTGCATTCATGTTTTGATTAAGTATACTTTAAGGACAATTTCTTAACGTCGACTGGTTGTACTATATGGCGGTGTGGCAAAGAATTTACGCTCCTTGCGCAATGTAGTGTTGGTTACACGAGCATTCGGTGTACCTGACAAAAGGAGGAATGAGTTTAGCAAAGTGATGGATTTGAATGATGTGTTTCTTCCGAGGAAACTTACCAAAGTAGGAATAGCCTGAAATCTTCTGACTGTCTGTATCTGTCGTTGTTTCAACATTGATAAATCTGGACCAGTAATCCGTTGGGATTTCTAGCAAATGAATCATCACCTAGAAAATATTCGGGAAAAAATGTTGTTTAATAAAATATGTTGTCTTTGTCTTCTGGTTTAAAGGAAACTCACATCTCTTTGAATCATTGTTTCAGTGAAAATGGCATGTTGATCGGGATCAGCGCTTGAATAACCCAAAACTGTTGGGCCGAATATCTTGGCCAAGTTTTCTAATGGCATTTTGATGGCCTTACATGTTGCGACACTGTTGACCAAAAATGGCATAGTTAAAATGTTGAATAATAATTGCAAAAGAGAAATGCTCTTGATTTGGACTGAACGCTACATACCGCTGTAAGTGCATGACCAAGTAGGCAAGCGTGTCACGATTGGCCTGTGGCAGCTGATTGATTGCTGCAAACAATTCACGGACGCCTGTTGCCTCGTCAACGGTTTGAACTGCGTTGGAAAAGTTCTTCCACAAGGCAGTCGGAATGAGTGGCTCTTTCAATCCACGTAAAAAGTCTTTGATGCAGCCGCAAACTACATGAATGTCATAGTTTGTCAAGTTTGGAAGTGATTTCCCCCGTAAGATACGCTCTTTAAGTGCCTTGATTTCCTTTTCCGAACCAGATACACGATAGATTCCTTCTTCCGATAAACCACGAGTTTCAACCTGTACCAAAATTAACATTCCCATTGGAATTAAAATCGAATTAGTTGCCTTGAATGAATGTGTTTTATTTTTCGAAATGAATTCGGACATACCTCATTCACACAATGCACAATGAGTGGTGGAAGCATTGGGCTTTCAGCTGGAACATAGTCCGTAATATAACCTTGTTTGCCATTCTTGAATCCGGGCGTTCCTTGACTCTTCGGAATGCATGCCATTGCAAATTGAATCTTGCAGTCTTGATGCAAATACACACTGCACAAACGACACTTTAGGGCTGATGCACCAAAGCGGAACCTAAAACTCGAGACAAACACTGTAAGTTTCCCTTCAAAATGCATGACATTCATGTAAAGCCCTTACTTTTTCAAGCAGTAAGCGCATGATTCTGATCGTAGCACGGTTCGGCTTGAGAATTCGTGTTGACGGCCTTGCAAATTCAGTAGCAATTTCGGATTGTTGGTGACTTCTTGCAATGGTGGGGCACTCGGCATTGGATACTCTTCGGTATGCTTCATCGAGTGTCGTTGTGGCGTTACCATTGCACTGTCCGGCAATTTCTTATCGTCTTTGCCGACTTGTGAGTACGGCTGTTCTGCATGATCAATTCGATTAAATTGACTGTAGAGCGCTGGACTTGGGACGGCTTCGATTGTTGAAGTGGCTTCAATTGGACCGTCACCTTGTGGAATTGAAACTTTTGTGGTGGCCACGATTTTATCCGATCCATCCAGTTCGATTACACTTGTGTTTTCTGGTGAAAATGATGCGATTATGCATTACAATTTGAATAATAACTTTCTGATTAACAATATCCATATGACCACTTCAGACCAAACTTACTCTTGTGTCGCAAATCCATGCTTCTTCGTGCACTACGGCGTGCATGCTTCGCCTCAGCATACGATGTGTTCGCTATATTTGCGGCATTCGTCGATGGACGATGCTTTTTGAATGGTTTCGACACCTCAAGGAAGTCTTCTTCTGATTGTGTCACCGATAAATCCGATAAAAATGATCCGGTTGAATTGATTTCATTGCCATATTTATCCTCAACGTAGCGATTTGATTTGGACTTTCGTTTACGCGCCGACATGTTCAAAAAAGCTAATTTGCTGCGAGTTTCGTCGTTGATCTCGCGATCATGATGCAAAAATTCACATGCTCTGGACAGTTTCTTCTCCTATTGACACAAACAAGATCAATGAGTTTTCTAACACAAACTGCGCCATGTGCGATGTAAAAAGAGCAATAATTCACTTACCAAATGATCACGTTCAACCTCGGCAGCTCGCCGTGCTTTGCTTTCCGTCTCCAATAATCGGCGTGCATGGAACAATTTCGTTTCGAAATCCGAGCGTTCTTGTGCACATCTGTCTAGTTCACGCTGCAAACGCTGTGCTTCTGCAGTTGTTGCTTGCCATTGCAATCGACTCTCTTCCATGATTTGAAGAAAGCGACGAAATTCTGTGATCAAACCTCATTATTAGCATCAAACCGCACAGTGACATCGGAAAATATGCAAACAAGCACTTACCAATTTCAGATGTACCATCTGTCAAAATGTCTTGACACCGTCTCAGCTCATCAAAACTGGCAACCAATGATAATTCCATTACTATTTTTCTTTTGCAATCTTTCACTTTTGAACAGGAACCAATCGGCAAATCAAATGTGCATAATATTGTTTTCCCGTTTTAATGGTTTTTTCGTTGTGAATTGCGGAAGAAATATCCAACACCACGGATATTTGGCCCTATCAAATTGATTTGTATACTATTCTACCGAACATACAGCGTCTCTACTTTCTGTTTTGCACTGATTGTGTTTATGACTTTCTTATCTTTTGAATTGGGTTTATTGGCTATCAGACGTTCACGAAACACAATTACAAAATATACCCGAAATAAATGCTAGTTGAACACAAATTGCAATGAATATTCAATGACTCTAGTCGAATGAACAATTTTTTGCACGCTTCACATCAGATGACGGTTGAAATATGAATTTCAGTTGAATGACAGCGCTGCCAACCTAACGTCATTACACGATTTGTTTTTGAGTTGTCACTAGCGCCATTTGAACGTTTTCGCGATACTGAACGTTTGAATGTAAACAATTTGAATTTAAACATTGTTGTTTGGAAAAATTTAATCTTTTTTTGTTGTTGTTTTTTTTTTTAAATTAGAACAGGAATTTTAAAATAAAAGTTAAACAGTTTTTCCATTGTGAGAAAAAAAACGGCTTAAGCTTACACTTGAACTACATTTTTTGGACAACGTATTCTTGTACATTTTTAAAAACTTTTACACTTTTGTGGAATGTATTCGATGTTTGATTTGGTGAAAATTGACTTAAAATTATGGTAAAATTTATCTAGCGTCTTGATGAATACGGCGGTGTTGCAAAGAATCTTCTCTCTTTGCGCATGGTATTGTTCAGAACTCTGGCGGTTGGCGTGCCTAAAAAGAAACAAATTCGTTATTTATCAGTTCACCAAGATACATTTGCGTATCGTTTTCTCTTCAAACTAACCAAAGAATGAATATCCCGAAGATTTTTGACTTTCTGTATCGGTTGAATCAGCATTGATGAAACGTGCCCAGAAATTGGCCGGAATATTCAAAAGATTTTCCATCACCTGAAACAAGAATATTTTGATTGATTTTTCATAAACAATTCATAGTAAAACAACCACTGTCTTTGAAGTTTTGGTCGAAATAATTTCTTTTTCTGAAAAGAAAAGCTTAATTGTTGAACTTACATCTTTTTGTACCATTGTCTCGGATAAAATGGCATGATGATCGGGGTCGGCACATGAATAACCCAACACGGTTGGACCGAATATTTTTGCCAAATTTTCAATGGGCATCTGAACAGCATTCCAGCTTGCAACTCTGCACAGATTCAATGTGAATTAAAAAATAGGAAATTTTGAGTTTCATGAAATCGTTCAATTGATTTATCGTTGATCAATACGAACCGTTGCAAGTGTAGAATTAAGTAGGCCATCGTATCGCGATTGGCTTGCGGTAGTAGATTGATCGTGGCAATTAGTTGCCGTTCGATATCTTTGTCGTCAATCATCTGCACCGCATTCGAAAAATTCGTCCACAAATTGGTTGGGATGAGTGTTTCGCATAATCCACGCAAAAAGTCTTTGATGCAACCGCAAACCACATGAATATCAACACTTGATAGATTCAGTACCGATTTTCCGCGCAGAATTCTCTCCTTGAGTGATTTGATCTCTTTCTCAGAGCCAGAAACACGATATATGCCCTTCTCCAAAAGACCCCTTGACTCAACCTACGATATGAGATACTCATATTTAGTTGTTATTCATGAAAATGTTCCAGTTTTCATTTTTAACCTACCTCGTTGATGCAATGTACAATGAGTGGCGGTATCATCGGCGTCTCATTCGACACGTAATCGGTGATATGGCCAATTTTTCCGTGTTTGTCATGATTCTTCGGAACACAAGCCATTTTATACTGAGCTTTACAGTCTGCATGAACATAAATACTACACATGCGGCACTTTAATGCTGATGATCCGAATCGAAATCTAAAATTCAAATTAACTTCCTATCAAATTCGGTTCTACGCGTCCAACCATGGCCATACTCACTTTTTCAAGCAATACACGCAAGATTCCGACCGTAAAATCGTTCTGCTGTTGAATTCATGTTGGCGAACCGGCAAATTTAGCATAAACTTTGGATTATTGATAATTTCTTGGAGTGGTGCACTTGGTGCGGGCGATACGTCTTGCAAATCCAACGATCGCTTATTCGATGTTAGAGTTGCAGTTGTCGTAGCACTTTCCGAAAGTTCAATGTTTTCTTTCACTTCCTCTTGCGGTAGTTCACTATCAATTCGACGGAATTTGTCATAAAGCGCCGAATTCGGAACGGTTTCAATGATTGATGTTGCCAAAATTGGACCGTCATCCTGAGGGATTGTTATTTTTGCGTTGGCAATAACTTGCTCAGGACCATCCAATTCGATTAAACTTGTATTTTCTGCGGGATGTCATGAAATAGTAAAAAGAAATCTCTTTTCAAGACACATTCGAATAGTCAATAGAAATTGACACTCTAAACTTACTTCGCATATCCATGCTCCGTCGCGCACTGCGCCGTTTTTGTTTCGATTCAACGCATGAAATGTTGGATGCTATCGTCGATGGACAATGTTTTTTGAAGGGTCTTGTCATTTCGTGAAAATCGTCGTCAAATTGTGTCACAGACAAGTCCGACAAAAACGATGTCGTCGAATTGATGTCATTGCAGTGCCGATCTTCAGTGTATCTGTTTGACCTGGATCGGCGTTTATGGGATGAAATGTTCAGTGATGCCAATGTGTCACGAACTTCGTTGTTGAGCTCACGATCTGTATGCAGAAAATCACACACTGTTGACAGTTTCTCTTCCTGTAAATGTGTGAGACCGTATGTTATTGACTGTCTTTTATGCTTCTATTGTTTATAAATCCTTTGTTAAGGAACAGGGGATTGTTCTTACTCATCCGCTTTTGGCTTACCAGTTGACGTTTTGCTTTGCTCTCTGATTCCAATAGACGACGCGCATGAAACAATTTAGTTTCAAAATCTAATCGCTCTTGTGCACATTCATCGTATTTTCGTTGCAATCGATCTAGCTCTCGTTGCAATCTTTGTGCCTCAGCCGTTGTTGCCTGCCACTGTGTACGACTTTCTTCCATCACTTGGAGAAATCGACGGAATTCTGTGTTCGAGACGAAAAATATTGGAATGGTCAATGAATCAACATGTTGAAAATGAATTTTGAACACGAAATATATCCGAAAAACCAAACAATGCAAATCGAACACATACCAATTTCGGCAGTTCCATCTGTCAAAACGTCTTGACACCGTCGCAACTCATCGAAATCAACCACCAATGAAGATATCTCCATTTTTCTTATTTTCTTTTCTTTTTCCCCGAACGAATTATGCTTGGCATTAATTTTTATTTGGTTTTTATTTACAGCTTTAGTTGATTTATGAAGAACTCAATTCGGAATGCAACACTTATATCCCAAATCGAGCTGAATGCACTGGAATTCTCTATTCACATAGCGTCGTTTCCGCTTGTATGAAAATCATTAGATTTGTTCCGATAACTTTTTTCTCCAAACATTTCCAAATGAAACACTACACTAATTCGAACGGAAACAATATGTTTTATTTGTATTTTTCATACATTCCATTCACAAAACCACCGTAACTGAAAGCCAAACTACTCTAACTGCACGCTTCGCATTGCACCTTTGATTTGAACACACATTTCGAGTTGAATGCAAAAGTCGTACCAACCTAACGTCAGTGGCATTTTCTGTTGGTATATTTTACGCGCCATCTTTTTGAATGCTCCGTTTGGAATGAACGTTTGATATACGGGAATTTTGAAGAAGGAAAATAGAAACGTTGAAAAATTATTTTCTTTTGTTTATTTAAAGGAATGAATAGTTTGTTTGGATAAAATAGATGCAAAGTGTAAAGAACTATGCAGAAAAACAGTTTTTGGAGAACGACAAAAGGGAAGAAGATAATCTCTTGAAAAAATCACAAAGGTAAGAGATAAAACATTTTATGATAAGTAATGAATCAGAAAAATGCATATTTTTGCAACTTCACAGTTATGTTTTATTGCTGTTGTAAGAAAAATACAAAAAATAAGCTCAAAATCTCTAAATTCGTGGTCAATTGCTACTGTTACTTCGATGCGTCAATGGCTAAAATAATGACATACAGGTAAAAAATTGGTGTTGTTCATTTTTCGATATAAATTTTGGGTTTGTCACACATCTAAATCTTCACTAATGAAACTGAACCAATAGTCGGTTGGAATATTCAAAAAGTGTTGCATGACCTGAAATGAATAAATAATTTATTACCTTTTTGATGCCCAAAAGTCACATTGTGAAATGTGTGTTTACTGAGGTGTTTCCATCGTTGTTTACTTACATTTTGCTGAATAATGGTTTCTCCGAGAATAGTTGCATGATCTGGCTCTTGCTTTGAGTATCCAACGACAGTTGGTCCGAATACTTTGGCCAAATTCAAAATTGGCATCTGCACTGCGCCACATGTTGCGACTCTGTAGAAGAATAAAAAAAGTTTTGTATGGAATGAATATTTGTTCAACGATTTCCATGATTTTTTTCATGAAAAAAATAATATGCACCATCACAGGTATTATTTGTTCCGATTGAAATGTTCAAAATTACCTTTGTAGATGTAAAACCAGAAAAGCCAATGTGTCGCGATTGGCTTTCGGCAATCGACCTATTTCGTATTGAAGGTGGCTCTGGATGTTACCGTCAGTGGAATCGCCATCGAAGTCGACGACTACATTCGAGAATACACTCCAGAGACGGGTCGGAATGAGTGGCTCGCGCAAACTTCGTAGGAAAATCTTGATGCAGCCACAAACAACATGCATATCAATGTTCGATAGGTCCGGGACATCTTCATTCTGCAAGAACCGATCCTTTAGCGCTTTGATTTCCTTCTCAGAGCCGGAGACCCGGTAAATGCCACGTTCCGATAGACCACGAGTCTCCACTTCATTCACACAGTGAACAATTAGGGGTGGTACACTTGGACCATAGCTGGTAACATAATCGCATATGAAATACTCCTTCGTGTTACTTTTCATGAGTCGTTGTGCTTTTGCTCTGGACTTCAAACGTGATTTACAGTTGCGATGAACAAAAACTCCGCATGACGTACACTTGAAAGCCAATATTCCAAAGTTGAATCTGTCGAATCGAATTTTTAAGTCAAATTGGGTGTGACTTTTACTGTGTGAAAATACTTACTTTTTCGAGCAGTGAAAGCAAACAACGGACCGTGATGCATTGCGATGAGAAAACGTATGCTTACAGTTCGAATCGATCGGAAGGTCTGATTTTGAATCGGTTCCATATAAAAAATTACTTGAAGTTTTTGTTACGGCACTCTCTATTTTCGGCCAATTTCCCCTGTTATCAAAAGCGAACGAATTGTTACCATCACCTTCAATTCGCTCGTAGATGGGATTTGGATTCACTTCTTCTGATGACAACTCTCTACGTGCTCGATACTCTTTGGATTTTTTTTGTTTTGCCCGATTGATTTCTTCGGATACATGGATATGCTTCTTAATACGTTTCGGTGGGCTTTGAACTCTTCGATTATACTCGCTAATATCACCGGAATCGGGACTCTCGTCCAAACTTTGGTTGCGTTTATCGCTTTGATTTGCAATGACTTGGAACGTTTTCTCAAGTAAGCCTTTGTTCTTTGATTTGGCAAGCTTTTCTTGATTTTCTCGATCATCAAATATTGTGTCAAATTCCTTCGATGTTTGTCGACTTTGAAAAATCGCCTCTGTGTTGTCGATGTAATTTTCTTCATTCGGCGACAATTCTGATAAATCCGATAAAAATGATCCAGTCGAAGTCATTTCGTCGACATTCTTGTCATTGCGATCGCTCTGTTTGTTCTGTTTTTTCTGTTTTTCTATGCCACGGTCACAATGTTCGTGGATTCGGCCCAGTTTCATTTTCTATATTAACAAACGTTTTTAAAAGAATGTATTTTAAACATTTCCGACCCACTACGATGAGGTAAATACATTTTGAGTTGCTTGGGACGAAATAATCAATTCAAACACTTACATAAAAATTGCGTTCGCATTCCATCGAGCGTCGAAATTCCTTTTCTCGTTCCCATAAGTGACCAATGTGCTGTAAATTTGCGGCCAAATCATCTCTCTCCATTACACATTTTTCATATACCTTTGTTAGCTGCGTAAATTTGTCCATAGTTGCTTGCCATTTCAAGCGACATTGCTCTTGAATGTGTAAAAACCGATAATATTCTAAATGAGAACACAATTATTACGATTAAAAATCATTCGGATCAAAATGTTTCTAAAAAGAATTCATTATCTTTAATGCGATAGTTCCATCATCTGCTGAATATTTACCCTTTTCTGAAGTACGTTTCATCAATATTTCACCCAATTTCCTAATATCATCTAGTGGGCCATTTGGTATCGTGTCCATGTTTCTCTGTTTTGCTATTGTTTTTGTGTATTTTGTTGGTTGCATTCAAATCGTTATAATTTTTATTTCGTCCGATCAATAAAAATGTACATGATATTCAACACGACAGCTAAAATATTATATTTCCAATGGTGAAAATCGTCCAATTCGTGGGACAAGGTGACAAAAACAAAAACAATAACAACACAAATGCGATTCGTTTGAGTGATGAAAACAAACTGATGTCAGTTTTCTTGTAGCCGGCCGTACTTGAGCTGTAGCAAGTACAGTCATTAGCATTCACCGCCCTCTATTTGAACGTTTTATTGCCACAGCATAACGGAGCGTTCAGTTTTTTTCTATTGGGTTCTATTTCAAATGTGTTAGAAAAGGTAATCGCTCCATAAAACAACTACATCGAACGAAAAATAGAACAATGGATAATGAGGTGATGTGCCTATTTTTTAGAATGTTATGCTAATAAGGTTCTCGTTGAAATAGTACTCTGTACTCGTAACGCACACTTGAAACTCATTTTATGATTTAATCTTCTTTTCTCCAAACAATAGAGAGTTTGAAAATTTCAAAAATATCCAAATTTAAACACGCTCAATACATGCTTACCAAATTGATGGCCAATACTGTTGATATTCAAGCATTTGAAGAATAGCAAGTGAATTTTCGGTTGTAGTTGAATTACTGTAAAATGCTAATATACAAAATGTTGTTCAGAATTTCTTTTCCTTCTAAAATTCTAGCACACAAGCATTTGATATGAATTGTGAGGAATTTTATGATAGGTAACACAAAAGAAAAATGCATTTTTTCCATTTTCACCGTCATTCTTTATTATTATTGTTTGAAGAACATAAATTAAGCTCCAAGTCTGTGAATTTGTGATTCTACTCTTCCAAATGTTTCATTTACTAAAATAATGGCATGCGGTTTAAAATGAGTACGGTCAGCAATGACGAATATGTGGACAAGACAAGGAGAACGAACACATTTTGGAATTGCTACATATCTAGATCTTCACTGATGAAACTGAACCAATAGTCTGTGGGAATATTCAAAAAGTGTTGCATGACCTGAAATGAACAAACAATTTATTGCTTTATTTTCGATACTCAGAAGTCACATCGTGAAATGTGTGTTTACTTACATTTTGTTGGACAACGGTTTCTCCAAGAATAGTCGCATAATGCGGCTTCTGATTTGAGTAACCAACAATAGTTGGCCCAAAAACTGTGGCCAAATTCGAAATTGGCATCTGGACTGCATCACATGTTGCGACTCTGAAAAGAAAAAAAGTTTCGAATGGAATGAATATTTGTTCAACGATTTTAATGAGAAAGAATATGCACCATTACAGGTATTATTTGTTCATATTTGAAAAACTCGAAATAACCTTTGTAAATGTAAAACCAGAAAAGCCAATGTGTCGCGATTGGCTTTCGGCAAACGACCTATTTCGTATTGAAGGTGGCTCTGGATGTTACCATCAGTGGAATCGCCATCAAAATTGATGACTGCATTCGAGAATACACTCCAGAGACGTGTTGGAATGAGCGGCTCGCGCAAACTTCGTAAGAAAATCTTGATGCAACCACAAACAACATGCATATCAATGTTTGATAGGTCCGGGGCATCCTCATTTTGCAAGAATCGTTCTTTAAGTGCTTTTATTTCCTTCTCAGAGCCGGAGACCCGGTAAATGCCACGTTCCGATAGACCACGAGTCTCCACTTCATTCACACAGTGAACAATTAGGGGTGGTACACTTGGACCATAGCTGGTAACATAATCGGATATGAAATACTCCTTCGTGTTACTTTTCATGTGTCGCTGTGCTTTTGTTCTGGACTTCAAAAGCGATTTACAGTTGTGATGAACAAAAACTCCGCATGACGTACACTTGAAAGCCAATATTCCAAAATTGAATCTGTCGAATCGATTTTTTTAGTCAAATTGGGTTTGATTTTGGAGTTGTATTTCAATTGTAGCAAAATACTTACTTTTTCGAGCAGTGAAAGCAATCGACTGATCGTGAAGCAAATTGATGAATAAAGGTGTGATTACAGTTCTGTAGCTTATATTTCGAATTCTCTTCATAGGACGGACGATTTGAAGTTTTTGTTGCAGCATTTTCAGTTTTATGCCAATTTTCTTTGTTACCAGGAGCAAGCGAGCCATTTCCAAACCAATGAGTTTGCTCGTAAATGGGATCTGCATTCGCTTCATTCGAGGATATCTCTCTTAGTGCTCTATACTCTTTGGGGATCTGTAGTTTTGCTCGATTAACTTCTTCGGTGGTATGGAGATGCTTCTCCGCATGTTTCGGTGGGGTTTGTACTCTTCGATTACACTCACTATCATCATCGATGGAGCTTCTGCTACTGTCCAAACATTGTTCACATTCATCGTCTTGACCGTTGATTTGAAACGTTTTCTCACACAAGCTCTTGTTGGTTAGAGCCGTTGATGTGGCAAAATGTTCTAGATTTTCAAACTCTTTTGCCAGTTGCCGACTTGTAAGCATCGCCTCTGCATTTTCAATGTAGTCGTCTTCGGTTTGCGATATTTCCGATAAATCAGATAAAAACGATCCAGTCGAAGTAATCTCGTCTTTATTCTTATCGTTGAGATCGTTCCATGTGTCTTGCGTTTTATCTCGGTTTTCTACTTCCATGCCTCTATCATAACGCAAATATTCGTAGGTTCGTATTACTTTCATTTTCTATGTGAACAAAACCAAAACAAAATGTTTTAATGCATAAATTTCGATTTAGTCTGAATCAAATAATCAATTCGATTTGCAACACCAAAAATACTTACATAAAAATTACGTTCATGCTCCATCGAGCACCGAAATTTTTTTTCCATTTGCCATAAATGATCAATATGCTTTAAATCTGCAACTAATTCGTCTTTTTCCATTGCACATTTTTCATGCTCTTTCAAAATCTGCGTAAATTTGTCCATAGTTGCTTGCCATTTCAAGCGACACTGCTCTTGAATGCGTAAAAATCGGTAATATTCTGAATGGGAACACAATTTCAATGATCAGCAATAAAAATAATGATGGATGGAATCAAAATTATTCTAAATAAAATCATCTGTGTAATATCATCTGTGTAATATCATCCAATAACGCCATCGTTGTTTACCTTTTTCTGAAGCGTGCTTCATCAGTATTTGACCCAATTTCTTGATATCTTCGAGTGGGCCATTTGGTGTCGTGTCCATGTTCCGGTGTTTTGCTGTTGTTTTTGTATATTTTGTTTGAGCCATTCAAATATTTATATTATTTCGTCCAGGCAATAAAAATACTAATGACAAAACAACAACAATATTATTATGACTTCAATCTATAAAACTCTAAACATCGTTCGATTCGGTGTGGATGTGTTTGACAAGAAGACAGAAACAATAACAACACAAATGCGATTCGTTCGTGTGATGAAAACAAACTGATGTCAGTTTTCTTGTAGCCGGCCGTACTTGAGCTGTAGCAAGTACAGTCATTAGCATTCACTGCCCTCTATTTGAACGTTTTATTGCCACAGCATAACGGAGCGTTCAGTTTTATTTCTATTGGGTTCTATTTCAAATGTGTTAAAAAAAGTAATCGCTCCATAAAACAACTACATCGAACGAAAAATAGGACAATGGATAATGAGGTGATGTGCCTATTCTTTAGAATGTTATGCTAATAAGGTTCTCGTTGAAATAGTACTCTGTACTCGTAACGCACACCTGAAACTCATTTTATGACTTAATCTTCTTTTTTCTAAACAATAGTGAATTTGAGCATTCTAACTATATGCACAAGTGATTATCCAGCATTTACTTACGTTCAATATATACTTACCAAATTTATGCCAAACACATCCTCTTTGCGGATATTCGAGAAATGGAATTAGAATTTCGAGCATTCGACCGCCATAAATTCAAACATTATTCGAATCCATGAGTTTGTGACACATGTACTGCCAACCTTCATTGAACGTTTAAATTTCTACTCAATCTCCGATTGAGTTAAATTTCAAAAGTGAATGTTTACTCAATCCATTAAGCGTTCGTTGAAAATAAATGAACAACAAATTGCGAATTTATATGAACCAATTAGTTTTGTTTCTGTTTTTATTTCAATAATTATTTTCTAAATTCTAGTCATATTGAATCGATACAAACATTTCCATCGACTGGTCCAAGGTACGAATTGTTCATATGGATTATTATATTTAAAATTGTTTGCATGCAAAAATGAATCGAAAGAGAGAGAGAGAGAGAGACATTGAAAATAGTTTTGCAGCAAAATCTAGTGTTAAATCGCCGTCAATTTTATTTGATCATATGAACAAAGAGTGGAAGATTTTTCAAATTCCAAGTGTTTTAGTAGATGTTATTTTGATTGACTATCTTTTGTTTTGGTTAGAGAACAGAGTGTCTACGAACAAATGAAAAAAAAAACTGTCTTGTCAATACAATTTGTGTTTTTATTTCGATTTTGGGATTTGAGTGTATTCATTCTGTGTGAGAAATAGAGAAAAAAGAGAGAGAGAGAGAGAGAGGGAAACGGAAAATAACGAGAAAAAAAACTTAAAACTAATGAATAATTTTTCTCCTTTCTCCTCACTTCACTTGTTTAGTTTTATTTTGTTGTTTTCTAAAAAAAGAACAGAACAAAATTTGCTTTTTTTCTTCAATAAATAATAATATTCCTATTTTTATGTCGTATTTTTATGTTGTGTTTCGCATCTAGATTTTATTCCTTTTCTCTTTAGATTAAATTCATAAAACATCAATTTTTGTTTCGCATAAACTCGTTTTTCTTAAAGTCTTTTATGTGATCGTTTCTTGTTGTTTTTGTTCGGGGTTATGCATGGGTCTGTTCATGTGTGTATGTGTAATTGTGTTAATGTGTGTATGCCTTTTTTTTCTTTTCAAATGAGAGATAGTGTATGTGAATTTGATGCATTTGTTACTATTAGAATATAATTCAATTTCAGCAGGTAGCTAAATTCTATCTCGTCTCAATTCTTCCTCTTTTCTAACATCAACACCACAACAATTTTGGGTTTCTTCTTCGATTCACTTGACATCGTCGATTTCGAATGAACCGAAAGTCAAAATTGTCAATCACATTGCAAACTTGAAACATTCGATTACACGAAAGAAATGTTGCATTCGGCATGATTTATTGTTGTTTTATGATTGCATTTCACATTTGTTAATTTTCAACCAGAAATAAAAACAAACAGAACAGAAATGACAACAAAAATGAATTTTTTGTGAGGAGTGGATGAAAGGGTAAGGCTTGTTCACAGAACAAACAATACATTGCTAACGAACAAAATAAACGCAGCTCAATGGTTTTGTTTTGTGGTTGTTTTAATAAAAACGATTGACAAATTTCAACTGAATACATTTTGTACCAAATATACAAATTGTTTCGTTAGTCCAGTGATTGGATTCAACTTAAAAAAAAAAACAAAGAGAATATATTGTAAGTTCAGAGATTTAAAATGTATCAAACTTTCATTGATACCAAGTATATGTGTGTTAATGAAATCATTTTGATGATGATGTTGTAATGGATTCGAACACTTTTTCAAACACAATTGTTTTTTCTAGCTTTCAAACACAGTTAAAATTCTTGTTTAACAATTAGTCTCTGTCATTGTAAATGAATGTTTCTTCCCCTTTATGTGTGTGTGTGTGGGTCGGTTTCTTTCTTCATCTCTTGAGTCGTAAATACGTTTTCATTTGCCGCATTTTGATCGATGCACATTTCGAAGATCTCAGTAAAGTGAATTGCTTTGTAATAGATTCTATTTAAGTTTACTTGATTTTTTTGTTGTTGTTTAGTTCTTTTCTATTTTTTTGATGATGCAGAAAGTCAAAAGAAGATGCCACTGATGGGACTGGTCATTTCTATATTACAATTTATGTTGTTTGTTGTAGTGAGTTATAATTTGTATCCGTTTGTTTTGCTATTTGCCATTTCGGTTTTAAATTACAATCATTAACTCTTTTAGATTTAGCCATTTTTTTTGTATTTTATAGTTACTATTAAATTTTAAATTTTTACTCATCTTGAGCAGCAGCGAAACACACTTTACACACACATTGCCCAAGAGATTTTTTCTGGATAATTTGTTTGTAGTCAGTTACACTGCTGCACACTCCTCTCGTTTTATCCATTTTTTCTTCTTTTTTTTCTGTTTCTACGGCTTTCGCACTCTCACTTGTTTTTTTACGACTTCTTTTTTTCCGTATTCTAATTTGTAAATTACTTTGTTTTATTACTTTGTTGTTGTTTTTTTTAATAATTATCATTATAATAATGTAGTATAATATTTATATATTTAATAACGCGGACACGAATTGGCTATAGATCCTCAGACATAAATGAATTTTGTGATTTGAGTTCCTCTAATCGTCGTATTTGATGTCGCAAGTACATTACTCTGTTGGAAACAAGATAAACATTGTAATTGATTAGAAATGAGAGTTGAAAATTGCAATTGTAAATGAATTAATGCTTCTAACTTTATATATAAAGTAACGAACTGTGGGCGTTTTGTTTTCATCAAGATGAGATACTCACTTTTGTTCTTGTAGGGTTGCTGTAATTTCTGTGATTCTAACTACGCTACGAGCCGATTTTAGATCTGCCGACACCTTAGTACACTGTAAATTTCCAATGATGTTAGCTTCATCTGATGCCAATTGTGCCTGAAAATTGAACAATAATTAGTGCATTTTGTTTGAGAATCATGTAAATATCGCTTGTATGGACTTTGTGCTAAGGAGCCTCTTGCTCGGAAATTATTATTATAATTTTCATTAGAATTAACTAATAAATTGGTAAATGCTCTCTTTCCTAAGCGGCTAATCATGACTGATTGTAATCGGTGCTGATTTTATCCAACATCCGGTCACCTAGGAAATACATTCGATACAATCTTAAGCGATTGCATTAGTCTACCGATTTTTTTTTACAATCGACCAACGATTCTTCCGTGGTCCAGATGATTTTTTTGTTTATTATTTTTTAATCTTTGAATGAATTTATGATAAATTAATACATTCATACTTTTTCTGCTAATCAAAAATGAATGGGTAAGAAAATCGGACTTTTGGGAACGAAGCATTAGGAGTTCTATTGTTCTCATTATGTAAACAAAGTGGAGTATCGTTTGAAAGCTATTCAATGTTTATAAAATTTTGATATGGGCAAACTCTCAGATCGTTTTGCCATTTAACAGCAAAAATCACTCAATTACAGTGGCGATTTTTATTAATGGGTCTCTTTCTTTTGTCGCTTTAAAAAGCGAAAATGATTTGAGATTTAGAAATACGCCGAACACGAAGATTAAAACATTGTAATATCTTTGATATCATTTGAACGAGAGAACGTGTAATGAAGACACGTTAAATGGCGTCAATCTAGGAAAAACTGAAAATCAATTCTATTTCGTGATTTTTTGTATACAAAAGAGAGTAAAGAAGAATAAAAATAGTCAAAAATTGCTCGAATGGCACAATTACGTTAAAATTTCGAACATCAAATAAGTCTCATTCACCGATTCATCTGATATTCCATTGAAGATGTCAAAAAATATTTGAGTCTGAATAAAAATTGAGATAAGAATGATGTCTTTACTTTTCTTACCTGCCTCTCCAAGATTTCAGCAGGCCAATTGGTAACATGCGCGATCAAATCGGCACGGAAATAGTTTGCTAAGCTAGGTGTGAGACTGGGGCCTTGGTGCCGAAGCATTTGTGATGATACACCCTGCAGGCTACTCAACGAAGCCGATGTTCCATCCACTGTAAGTCAAAAGGAGAACAAACGTTTAATTCCGACTTTCCCATTTACGAATCTCATTCGATTTGGCTGTGTTTTGATTTAAACTTACATTTCCGATGATCAGTCGTCATATCTAGTTCTTGAGTTGGTGTCGGTGGGCCGTGGCCATCGCCAACATTTAAAGTGCTACTACCATCAGACTTCAGTCCAGCCGCCGAAAATTGTGACGAAATGCCAATACCTAAGCCAGTTGATTGTGGTGTCATCATGCCGGATTGCACATATTGACCGGTCGTACTGTTGCTGCCACCATTGCCGCTGCTCGAATGATTCAGCGCGGACAGATTGTGCGGCAGATTGTACAACGGTGAATGTAATGCGTGTTCTCTTATACTATTTGAAGAATTACTAGTATTATTATTCGCTATTTGATTATTTCCATCACCCAAACCGGAACCGCTCAGCCCCGAATGTTGCGCTGAATCATTTGAATGACCCATCGATTTGATGTCTGCATGGTGGTTCTTTTTCGATGACGACGTTACTGGTAATGACGGCGACGATGTTAGCGACGCTGAATTATGTTGACCACTGTGATTATTACTTAAATTACTGTTACTACTAGTCGTGCTGTTGGCGCTGTGTATCAGGGCTGTTGAAGGAGATGATGTAGGCAGATTTGAATTGTGCAGTGAATTACTTTCTGAATTTTTGTTTAATTTAGATGCTGCAACGAGAAAGAGAAACAGAAAGAAAACATATTTAAAATCGGGAATTTCCAACTCATTCGATAGTCAATTGTGAGGCTCAAAATATGTTGCATTAAAGCCTGATTTGTATTGGAAGAAGCTTCCATTTAACGTTAATTGCATCATTATTATGTGCGGAAATTGCTTTTTATGTGCGCGGATAAAATGAGGATTTGCTTTGGAAATAGCAACGAATAAATGTGCCACATTCGATATTGTTTAGCGTTTATCAAATAAGCCGGAAACGTGACGTAATTTACACATCATATTTTGAGCCGATGCTGGCCATGATAAAGTGTGTGTTTGGCGGAAATGAAACCGAAAAGCATCGAAAGCACACTTACAAGACGATGCGGATGTGGTAGACGACGAATGTAAACCACTGGATAAATTATTATTACCAGAACTAGATGACGATGAAGTATTAATAACGCTTGCAGATGATGACGTTGTGTAGTTGTTTGATGTCGATGGATGCGGTGCCAATCGTGCATTTGCCAGCAACACTGGACCATCGGCAATCTGTTGAGGTTGTGCATTTGGTGTACTTGAATGCGAATAACTTGCTTCTGACGTCGGAGTTGAATCACCTGGGCTGATGTCCATGTTATCTTGACTGTCTGCTGAATATAGAAAAGAAGAAAAACGAAAAATAAAATTATTGATGATGTCATCGCTTCGATTCCGAAGAATGAAACATTGAAAATTACCTTCGTTACGCCTTCGATGGCTTTGTACATTTTCTGAATCATGTGGCCATCTTACTCGAGAGCTCCGTGAACTGGAATGCTTTGCATATGCTAAAAGAAAAGTGTAAAAAGATTCCATTTTATTATTGTCGTTTTGGAATACATTTTCAGTGGATTCAAACGGATGTCGTCACTTACAAGATCGAGAAAATCGGTCTTCTCTGTCTCTATCCCGTTCTTTATCTCTGTATTCCCTGTGCTGCTCTTTTGGTAGCAATCTATTAGAAGATTGAAAGAAAATCCATTATATAAACACTCATGTAAACGGAATGGTGACGATGGGACCGGATGCTTACCTCTCTTTCTCCCGCCACTCTGTCGGTCGTACCCATGTTGATGTTTCGGTTTTACAATTGTAATAATACTTTTTGCCAGACGAACTGATATGCTCACTCCAATCAGACGATCGACTTATTCGGTCGCTAGTGCTGTTACTGTTGTTATTGCTCCCGTTCCCTCTGTCACGATGATCCCGTTCACGTTCTCTCGAACCTGAATGTTTGTCTGATGGCTGGTACACTATACGAAAAGCAACCGAAGTTTCGAATTTGAGAAATAGGCCAAATAAATCTTACTCTAAATACTTTAAAGAGCACTAAACCTTTTTGAATCTATATTAAATTCGGATGAGTGACTGTTTTTAGGCTTTTTGAGTGTAAACTTGGGTTTAATGTTGCTGAAATGATTACAACGTATGTGAAGCAAATCCGTGTTCATGGGACTGGCTTTCAAATTGAACGAAATTGAAAATTCGTCAGTCTCATTGCCTCCCAAGTAAAACACCTTTACGAAGCCTCATTTCAGCCACTAATCATCGATTTAATGCCCAACGATACGTTTATGAATAGAAATCAAGTAATTACTGAGTTTCGAAGAGCGTCGGCTGCTGCTAGACATCTCGATTCGATCATGGTTCGTTCGATGCTCAGCATCCCGGTCTCGTCTATCACGTTTGTCTACATATTTATCTTTTTTATAATCATTTCTACCACGATCTTTAATTTTTTGAATATAACTAGAGCTTTGATAACGATCCGAACGGTCTCGGCTATCACGCGGCGAATCCAAATCGGGCGAATCTGAACGATATGAACCACCGTTTAGTGTACCACTTGGCACATTGCTGCTGGGCGACAAATCACGTTCACTGCCGCGTATATAATTTGTTGACCTACTGCTAGCCTCTCGTTCATAGTCCCGTTTGGAACTATATTTCGAACTCTAAAAACCAAACATGAAAACAAAGAAGAAAAAAAAAACGAAAAAAAAACAAACTCAAAATCAGATAAAATTCGGGCCAATTGTTTTGGTCAGTTCATTGGTGGTGGCCAAAACAAAAGAATAAAGTTAAATGGTGCGGGTGGTCATTCGTACGGAATAGAGATATCATTTGCATTCGAATGGTTCGGATAATTTGATCAGAATGCCTTTGATAGACGCTGGTTTGGGTTCGTGTCAAGTGCTTTGTCAATGGAAAATGATTTATTTCAAACTCGGTACTTATTACAAACCAAACAAATTCAAATAACTTTTATTTGTCGACAATGTACAGTGTAAAAATAAAAACAAGACGAAAGAATTTCAAAAGTCATTAAATCACAAAGAGCATTTGATCAAAGTATCGGATTTAAAATGACAGCGTCTGCTTGGAAAATCCATTGACCTCGTTGTGCAATAAACTCATCAGAAAATGTACGAAATTGTGGAGAAAATCATTGATGGTGCATTGGATTGTGTTTTTGCAGGCAAAATTATGCGTTTGCATAAGAAAACATAAGAAAATCCAAGAATTTTCAATGGATTGTCGTTTAAAAAAAAAGTTTCGACGATGAAGTATATATAACCTCTCTTTTTCGAATCACTCTACGCTGTAAACTAATTTTATGTGATTTTCGTGGAAAAATCGCATTTGACCCGGAAAAAAGACGTGAAACTATGACTTTGGGTAGTTTTGAAAGTAGAGGCAGTGAAAAATCCAACATGGACACGGTAATTAAGCAGAAATCTCAAAGAGATTGGTTCAATTACCTCTTGCATAGTGACGCAGTGTAATGTCAAATACACAAACAACCGAATGAAGGCGAATGGAAAATGTCTGTACATTTCGCTTGAAATTTAGCGATTAAACTAATAAAAAACTTAAATGAATCGATAAACGGGAAGATTTTCTGCGAAAATATTTCACAATAAAACATCGGTGTACGTGTATTTTGGCTGTCTGTTAATGGGATCGCGAGAGTTCAATTGAACTTTCATTTTGGGCTGTTCACACAGCATATTGACAGCCAAGCAGCACGTACGTCGAAACAGAGACAGAGGCAAAAACGAACGAGTGACCGAGAAAGAACGAGAGCTCACTGAATGCAAAATTCTGTGTGCGATTGACTTATTTCGAATGAATTTTAATGCAAATGTACCAAGCAAACTTATCATAAACATTGGCATTTCAACCGGAATGAATTGGTAATTTTAAATCGAGAAATCACCACACATTTGTTTTTCATGTGAATATTGCCAATGATACGTCTATTCGTACAACGACAAAAAAAAACTTAATGACAGAATGTGTATAGGATGGTTTTTAGTTACCTGATAAGGATGGGCTTGATGCTTTTCAAAGTACCTGAAATGAGAGAATAGAAAAAAAAACTCCATTAATTGCATTCGAATGTGAAAGAAAATGTTGAAAGCGTCACTTGGAATTTGCGATGAAAATTAGATTTTTCTTTCTGTTTTGTTGGTTGGCTTGAGACACTCTATTTCTTTCGACTGTCAGTAAAATTTTGCCCAATTGAATAATTACAATTTCTTCGGATAAAAACAGAAAAAAAACATCTCATTCGCAGCACAATTTTGTTTTGAAAAGAACGCGAATGAATCGTACATTTAATTGGTGTGAAAAAATACGGTGAAATGGAATCGAAAGAAGAAAAAAAAGAGCTGACTTTTTTTTTTACTTCTTTCTACATGCACTCTACACACGAACAGAAAAATTGAATTTCATTCCAATTTTCACCCAAAGTGCGTATGTGGATACAGTGGTATATAGGTTGTATGATATTTACCCATCGTTCAAACGTTGTGGTTTTCTAGCATGCATTACCATTAATGCGAAACTCTTAATTAATGTGTTTGCGGCCAAAACGATAGCCTTTCTAGCGAATTAATTGTCATGAAAACAACATTCAACGTTGATACGGCTGCAAAATTTATTCGACTTTGTTCTTTGTAAACGCCGCCATATTGAATACGAACTCACAGCTTGTGAACAAGTTTACAAATGATGCGACCGTATATAATTTGTACATTTGTAACATTGAAATGCTACACACTCACAGCAGGCGAAATAGAGTGAAAATTCAACATCGAACTGGGCAGCGCGACGAGTGTACGTGTGTATTTTGGTATGTGTGTATGCGTTGTGCTCGCAGTTGCGATGTGCGTGTGTTTGTGTGTCTTGTGTACGGATCAACTTCACACCGTTGAGTGTGCCAGCGATGTGTGTTAAGTAATTGCTTACACCCAAAGCAAATTGCTAATATCGTTCACTATTTCCAAATTTCACATTGATTCCATTGACACTCGTCTGAAACAATTGGCACGGTGTGTCATTTATCGACATACCTCATCGAAATCAAATAAACTATGCGAAATTAATGCAAAAAAATGCAAATTACAAACTGGAACCAGAACACGAGTCTGTGTGTTTTTGTTTGAAACAACGAAACTGTTCGCCGGGTGTCGACACAGCGAAATGCCAACTTCATGCTGATCAATTATGGGATTGCCATTGATTGTTACAGCTGACTTTGCCGAACGAAAACATTTTATAGCGAACATTTTTTTCACAATACAATTTATTTGATTTTGATATGAGAAAAATTGGATTTCCATTAATTTCATTGTTTTTTTTTGGCAAACCATCGAAAATAGGCAATAACAATGTGTATTTCAAAAAATTTCATTGAAAAAATCTCGTTTGTTTATTCCGAACCATTTGGCACATTGCAAACAACTTAATGTTTGTTTTTATCATTGACTTTGACGTAAACGCAAAGTTGATACAATAAAGAAAATTCCGCACACATCCCATCCACCATCAGCCAAATGCATTGGCCACTTTTTTAAACCGTATGAAACAGTTTTGTTTCAAAGCATTGCATAAACTTTGGCGAAAACAACTCAAGCGATTGAACGAAATGAGATTACAGTAGCTGTGCAATCTACTGCGTGATAATTGTATTAGTTAAAATGTGGTATGCGGTAGTCATCCGCATATTACGTCGCCGTATCGTTTTGACGATTATCTTTCTCTTGTCACTAACATATTGTCTGGTCAATCTGTGGGGCAATGTAAATTAAACCAATCCGAGCCATTTTTATCGCATACTAATCATTTCGAAACTGCATTTTCAGAGCGGCAATAGTTACAAAGACATTGAGGAAATTGAATATAAGCGCGAGCAACCGTTGATTTGGCGTGAAGACACCATAAGCAATGGAACAAATGGAGAACGACCGGATGAATGTCGGAATTCGGTTCAAGGGAAAATACTTCTCGTTGACGACGAGGGCTATGTTTGCCATCGGAATAATCTATTGAGTAATGGATGCTGTGATTCCAATGAAAATATTCAGTACACCTGTGATACGTGCAATACGGAGGAGGGCTGCTGCGCTGTCTACGAAAAATGTGTCAGTTGCTGCTTAAATCCCAACAAAGTAGGTCACCTTGTGCGAATCCATATATGCCTTCTCTCAACATTTTCTCTCTTTTCATACATTCACAGCGATCAATTCTCGAGAAAGCAATGGAAATGGCGTCTGGCCGACAAACAGCTTTATTTGCCACCGTCAGCGACCAGTTCGAATTGTGTTTGGCCAAATGTCGAACCGACTCACACAGTGTTCAACACGAGAACAAATACAAAAATCCAGAGACAAAATTCTGCTACGCTTACATCGAGGCGCATGAGTCACAGCGCGACAATTGACCAAATAGTGTGCTTTAAACCGTAGAATAATTATTTTTTAAACGAAAATCAATTAAACTGAATTTATATTTTATCCCTGACACCTATTAGGTTTAAGCAATGAAAATCCGTAGAAATTTCAAAATAAAATCCAGTCAGCACTTTTTATTAATTATCAATTGAGCATTTGTTAATAGCGCTCAATATTTTGTTTATAAGGTATAAAAATGGCATATTGTTGCATGGGATTGAGCATTAAGTACAATAGTACAATCAAGCGTCTTCAACGAAATTATCACCGGGACGTATGCCACTGTAGACTTTGTTCCCCTTGCGATAGGTCCAAGCCATTTTCAATGAAGTGAAGTAAATGCCAACATCACCCTTAGTGTCGAGGGTTATGGCACCAGCGGTATATGGCAAGCGATCACTCATGTCGCGTAAAATAGTTTTCGTTGCTATTTGAGGGCTCTCTTTTAATAAATCCATTCGCTGGAGGACGCGTTGGGCAACATTGTAACGCAAAATAGTTTCTCCGTGACCAGTGGTTGAAATGGCACCCATTAACTGCGAAACAAGAACAGTAATTATTGTATCTTTAAATAATTCTCTAAACATCTGAGGATATAATTACGTTGTCTGCATAAGTTCCAGCGCCAAGAATCGGTGTATCTCCAATGCGGCCTGGCAATTTTCCTGTAATGCCACCTGTTGATGTTGCGGCAGCCAAATTACCTTCGCTATCAATAGCCACAGCACCAACTGTACCAATCTCGTCTTTTCTGCGACGATCGCCAATTTCAGTCGGTGCATTCGTTACATCCAAGCCGAGTTTATGCTGACGTTTGTATTCTTCTAGTGCTTCTATGGCAAACTCAGTGACCAATGCACCGGGAGGCAAGATTTCAAAACCTTCTTCACGTGCAAATTTCATAACACTTTGTCCGCCCAAGAATGTATGGTTGGTCTTCAGCATCACACGCTTGGCTAGGGAAATTGGATGATAAATGTCTTGGACCAAAGTGCAACATCCCGCATTTAAATTGCTGCCATTCATGATGCTAGCTTCCATTTCAACATCTCCATCGTAAGTCAGGACAGAGCCGTAGCCTTTAAAAAACAATAATACATAATATTTTTCATTGGCGCCAAATCAATTTCTTATCGATGGTAAGTGCAATAGCTCAAGTTTTTTATCGATTTCAGCACAGATTGGATTAAGAAATTGATAAATACCAGCATTGAAGAATTCATCCAACTCCATACTCTGAACAGCTTCTTCGACCGCTTCCAAAACGGATCCGGTAGATAGCAATTTTTCGTATCCCAATTTCGTTGCCAATTTGCATCCAACTAATTTGCCATGATCGCGTGAATCAGGAATGTCTCCAGCACCTCCATGCACTAAAACAATCGGTTCGATTGACATTTTTGCCTGCAACATAAAAAAATACTCTATGAAACGCAATGCAATCCGTTCTTTTGTGTCTTTTGGAAACAAAGTAAAAACCTTCACATTCAATGCAAACACTACAAGATGCATACACAAGATAACAGACACAATTGGAAAGTGAAATGACGTTCGCATGGTGAATATTGCGTCTCTTTCTGTCGCCTGTTTGTATTTGGATTTATTCGGTTTGACAGTGTTTTGTAATTATATAAGTGAGGTGAAAGACCGCCCGGCAAGACGACGAGAATAGAGATTGCTTACACATGAACTTGCTTTAAGAAATTGAATGGCAAGTCGACACTCATATCATGTTTTATTCGAAGCTCTACTGAAAGATTTCTCTCTTTCTCCCTCGCTTCCTATCGCTATCAAGTGCAACGAATTGCTGTGATAACCGTAGAAACAACAAACTATGTGCAAGTCAGTTGCATGTATTCCGATTATATATGTGTTTTGACAGAAATCAACGACGAGGTTCATTACTACTCCGTTATCGATTGAAATTATCAACAAAAGTTTCAATTGAAATATTATTAGAATGATGGGCTTTTTCCACCTCATTGAAATCGCACATCCCATTGGTGTTCTATTGATTCAGTGAAACGGTCAACGAGAAAGGGTACGTTCAGTGGTCATTTTGATTCAAGTGCTAAAAAAAAGTTCTGCCATCAAAAATGCAATGAACTAGTCAAGCAAAAACTGATAGTCATACATTTGATTGGGTGAAAAATACATTCGCACAAATTGCTCGGTGTCTCCGACGGAGAGAGTGAGACGATAGACGCACTGCAAAATGCAACCGAAACAATCAATACAAATATTACCGCTGACAAGCAATCAACACCATAACCCACACTCCGAATCCATTACGTACGAGTGAGGCTATCAACCTGAACCATTTTTTTCGGCTTAATGACATTTTTCTTCGGTATTTTTATATTCGTTTCGTACGATTTTTTTCTCGGTTCCGTTTGCATTAGTATGTGTGTGCGTATGTGTGTGCCTTGTGTATGTTATGCCGTAGTGTTGCCGGTTTATCCTTCTTATCCGGTTATAGTTTGCTGCAGTAGCGACCAGCCATCGAACGTATGCAACATTTTATTTGGATATTTCGTATTTTTTCATTTTAGTTTTACGGTTATTGTCGTGACCTTGACAGCAGCCGCCATTCCGATGCTTTATACACCGAACATTTTCGAAAAAAGAGTACCAACCAAGCCTTTGTTAATATTTACAAAGTGTTTTTAATGGAAGTTTTACAGGTGTTGTGGTGAAACATACATCCAACCAGCCACCGACAAAAAAGTTTTTGACGTCAATTTTTCGTTGCATTTTGTTTCGTTTTCAAGTTCTTCTATTTCTTTTCACGGCTATCCCAGAAAATAAAATTGCCAACCAATTTTTTTTTTCAATAATCATCCGTTGAATTTATGGTGTAGTGTATGGGAAAAAATATTGTTTCCTAGTGTTTGAGAGATAAAAATCATGTGAATCAAAAATTAAAATAAAATTCTACTTCATTTGCAAAATGAACTGATTGAAAAATAATTTTTTTCCGTTTCGGGTTATATGGTCAAATCGAATTTGTATAGATATAGATGAAGTATAAAAAAAATTGTCTACCAATATAAAAGTGTGTGTATACGTGTGTACAGTAGAGAGAGAAAAAAAGAGCAAGAGAGAAGAAAAGAATTACTTTTTTTCATGTTGGTGTTAAATTTTATTTATTGTGTTGACGAAGACTTAACCTGCTATTTGCGGTAACCTATACACACAGTGTTCCTCATCGTCTCCTATATATGTACATATATATATATATATATAATACGTACACACGCCTGAACTGAGCCGTACACACCAAACACACGGACACGCGGAGAGAAAGAGAGAATTATTACAAATACTATACACAAATAAAAACGTGTGCTGTTCTCATATATACATCGAACACACACTGTACACACTGTACATATATCATCATCCACAAACACACCGAGTGATATTCACCTCTTATACACACAAATTATATGGTCGAACACAAAAAAAAGCGAAGCAGCAAAGAAGTGAATTTACAGAAAAAAAAGAATAGAGTTTAAGTTTTTTCATCGAGAGTCGAGTTAAAGGACCTGTTTTTTCCTCTCGCATGCATACCATTCGGGGAAAAAAAATACACATCCGAAAGGCGTTTTGTTTTAGTGATTCAATGGACATTTTGAAAAGTTGAATAAAATACGATTTTTTATTTGAACAAAATTATTAAACGACTATATTCGATAGATTTTTTTTAAGTGTTGAAACCGAAACGACCGTGTGTGAGTGATTAAGTTTGAATAAAAACGAACGAAAAATTATTGTGAATTTCAAAATGGTTGGTGTTCCAATGGGATTTTTAGATTTTGCTCCAGAACCACCTGCACCGCAAGCAACCAAAGTAACGGAAAGCGTTAATCTCAATCCTACGACGAATAACGATGCCAGAGACTTGTCAAGTAAGTGAGACCATATTCGATTCCATGCATTTAAGTATATATATATATATATAAATATAATTATTTTATTCGCATATCGAAAATGTTGTAAATTTGGGTTTTAAGTAGTTTTTGGACAAAGGGAGAAAAAACCGTTTTATTTTCTACACGTCTTCTCGCTGAATTTTTCTTTAGTTTTAGTTTTTTTTGTGCATGTTTGTACTTGACCGTGTGTATCGACGATATGGCATTTACAGTGCAAATGGAACGCCAATCCACTTAAGGCGAGACTTTATTATTATTTTTCTTCTCCATCGTTGCTTCATCTTCGATCGACAAGAAGAAAAAAAACGACGAATTTAGATCAGAAATTCAGTTTTAATCAGTTTCTCATATTCTTTTTTTATTTTTATTTTTTTTTTTGTATCGATATGCATACACAATTTCGTTCAATTGAATTTCTTTTTTTCTCTACTTCTTCTTCTTATTATTATTGTGTCGTTGCCGCTGCCATCGCGGTCGTCGTCATCGTTTGTCGAAGTTTGCGGTGTAAAACTTTCTTATAAATGGTTGTTAATGCATGAACGGCAGCCAATATATCTTTCTATATAAATACGTTGAATATATACGTACAAGCAGAAGTATGAAGCAAAAAAAAATATATACAGCACACTAAAATGCCAGCCGTATTGTAGTTTCTCTTTATATTATAGATTTAGATTTCGATACACGTATTATCGTGCATTTTTATATGGTGATATTATTTGATATGATGATTATTACTGTTATTATGCATTTTCCTCGCAGTCGTTTTCTTTTTAGCATAGTTTTTTTTTCTTTTCTGTAGTTCTTCTTCTTCTTCTTGATTTTTTTTCGTACACAATAAATAATATTCGTTAATCGGTAGCGTTCTTAGTATTTAAGTGCAAATGGCAAAAAAAATTATTTCATAATGATTTTTTGCTGTTTCGTCAAATATATTGTTTTGTCTTAATTTTTTTTGTTGTTTTTAATGCATTTTTGTTTGTTCTTTTACTCTTTTTTTGGAATATTTTTTTTTGATACTTTGGTTATTTGGATCGTGTGTTGTGTTATGTTGGATTATAAAATTTGGTATGGATCCGTATAGACTTAACGCCAAATGGTGATGTACGAATTAAATTTGAAACGCTCCGTTCACTTGATCCCGACACTTTAGAAATTGATAATCGTGCGGCGCCAGTGCAATATTCGATGCAGCAACTTGAGCATTATCAACAGATTACACCACAATATGCGCATCATCCGCCGCCGCCGCCACCGACACAGCAACAAATTCCAAATCATCAGGCGTACACACAACACATTCAACATCATATACCCCATTCACAGGCTCAATTAATCAATGTGAACACGATTAAAATTGAGCCGGGTGTTGTGATTAAGCAAGAGCCCGAGTTGAATATAAAAGAGGAACCACGTTCGCCGCATAGCAACCTCTCGAATCAAGCACAGAATCAGATTCACAGCCAACAAATGCCTTCACAACCATCGACCCCACATCAGCAACAGCAACAACAACAACAGCAGCAACAACAACAACAACAACAGTCTCAACCGAACAATGCGGCACCGATGCAAATCGATCATTTCCAGCAGATTCAAGCTCAGTCTCACAACAATCATCATCAAGTGCAAGTCCAACAAATTCACAACCAGCAAATGCCTTCACAGCCGTCGACACCGCATCAACCGTCGCAACCGAATATTGAGGTCGATCTAAGCATCGTGAAGCAAGAGCGACCGAAGAAAAAGTCCAAATCCAAACAAAATAAAAATCATCAAATGGGTAAGTAACACTCACACACATAGACAAACACCGCATTCTTAATATTTCATTTTTGCCACAAAAAAAAAACACGAACCAAAAAAGTGGTCACTGTCGTGAATCATCAATCATTATTATTATCGAAAAATTTAGTGTTTAACTAATCATAACCTCATTTCGAATTCTTTGAATCGTTTTGTTTGTACAGACACTAGCGAAGATACTAATATGAATGAATCATCGTCCGATCGCTCATCGCCACAATACACCAATTTGACATCACAGAATGAAAAGAGCTCACAAAACAGTCCAAAAACTTGGACACAAGAAGATATGGATTCGGCATTAGAAGCCCTTCGTAGCCATAATATGAGCTTAACTAAAGCATCCATGACATATGGCATTCCATCGACCACACTTTGGCAACGTGCTCATCGTCTCGGCATTGATACGCCGAAAAAAGATGGCCCAACTAAATCGTGGAACGAAGACTCACTCAACAGTGCTTTGAATGCTCTGCGCACTGGTCAAATTTCGGCAAATAAAGCGTCCAAAGCTTATGGCATTCCATCATCGACTCTCTACAAAATTGCCCGGCGTGAAGGTATCCGCTTGGCCGCTCCGTTCAATGCCGCACCAACGACATGGTCGCCCGAAGACTTGGAACGTGCACTTGAAGCAATCCGCGGTGGACACACCTCAGTGCAAAAGGCAAGCGCTGAATTTGGCATTCCAACCGGTACATTGTACGGTCGTTGCAAACGCGAAGGCATTGAATTGTCGCGTTCGAATCCAACACCATGGTCGGAGGATATAATGTTGGAAGCATTGGAATCGGTTCGTTTGGGTCAAATGTCCGTAAATCAAGCAGCTATTCATTACAATTTGCCGTACAGTTCACTATACGGCCGCTTCAAGCGTGGCAAATTCGATCCAAATGGTTCGAGTGACACTTTGAATACGTCACAAAACGAACAGCAGCAGCAGCAACAACAACAACAGCAACAGCAGCAGCAAAACCAGCAAGCTCAAGTCAATCAGCAGTCGCATAGCCAACAGACAATTCAGACTCACCAATCGGTTCCTGTTACCCAAACTACTCAAGCACATCATATTACTACGCAGTCACATCAACCCCAAGTGACTCAAGTACAACAACACCAACAGCCACAAACCATTCAGCTCGATCATACACAACAACATCATGTCATCCAATTACACCAACACCAACAGAAGGTAAGCATTGATTTAATTTAATTGATTACATTAAAACTAAGCATCAACCATCCATTCTCGGTAAACGCGGTGTATGAATGTGCGAGAGAGAGAGAGAGAGAGAGAGCCGTTCCTTTAATTCAAGGTGTAAATAATTCAATTATAAATAAATTACATTCGGCGTTTTTTTCTTTCCTTTTCTTTAAGCAGTATCAGCCTCCTCCGCAGCCGATCGCAATCAATACGGTGAGTTTTTTTATTCCAATTTTGATATTTATATATAATTAAAACAACTTCAATGGAGTTACGTTCGCTTATCTATCGTAAATATTTCATAAGATTTTTCGTTTGAAATTTGAGTTTGAGCGTTGATCTGAAAATACCAAAAAAGTCAACGGCATAAATTATTCATTTAAATGTTTTGTTGTGGTTTTTGTTTCTTTTTTTCTCCTTTCATCGATTTTCAAACGGAATCGACACAGTTCCAATACAATCCTGGTCCAAGCACAAATCAAGCGCTTCAGCTGAATCCGCATCTTCATCAAATTCAACATTTGCCTCATATGCTGACATCGCAGTCGCCGTTGCTTAATTTGAACTTGCATCCACAACAAATCCAGATCCATCACATTCAACATCCATTGAGTCGTCAACAAATGTAACAGTCAATTAAAAAACGTTTCAAACGCATCACGTAATGCACATCCCCCTTGTACTCCTTGACCACCACCAGCACCACCACCGCCACGAACACTACTCATCTCGCGCGAAACATATTGTTTTATGTTAGGAATCAATTACAACAAAAATCAAATCATCCTATCCGCTAAAACTGCTCACACGGTGTCGTAAGTATCTCCCCCCCATTTGATATATACATCAATTATATCATACATTTTAGTGATATGGTGCGAAAGGTATAGGGCAGGCAAACAAGCAAACAGATAATTTTGCAGCGATTAAAAGAAGAAAACGCGTTTTAGAAGAGAGACAAAAAAAGTGAAAATATACACAATGAAAAGAAATGACAAGAATATACAGGACAGTAGTGTTGATATGATACGTAAGAATGAAAGAAAAAAAAAACTTCGAATTGGTGCGAGCTTTTTACAAAAAAGGATCACAACTAAACTGTTTTTTTTTTGTTCTTTTGAAATCGATTATTTTCATGGTTATCAATTGATCTACACATACGTATGTAAATAAAATTCTAATTTAATACTCGAAAAGCAGCAGATTCACAACACATTTCCCGTTGGAATTGTATTTTTTTCCAAACACGATTTTTTTTACACTTTGAGAACTATATCTATTTTTTTTCCTTGTTAAGACAAGTATACAGATGAAATGTTAGAGAGAGTTTTTTTCCTGCATAGTGCGCGCTCGCTTTTTTTTATTGCAAGTATGAGCGATAGAGCAATTGTTTTGAAGAAGATAAAACGAAGAGAATGCGAAAGAAAATCCTTATTGTTTGCGCTATACTTTATTGGATTCTAATTTTCAACTTGCCGAAGGAAGAAAAAAACGAATTAAAAGAAAGATGAAATAAATTCGCGTTTAAGCAAGCAAATCGTTCATGAGAGAATAGAGACAAATAAATATAGATCTAAGATTTATTGATTTACGGTTAAATGATCTTCTTATCGTTAGTGAATAGTTGAATTGAAACAGAAATAATAATCAAACTGAGAGAAAGAATAATCTTCTTCTTCTTCTTCTTTTTTATTCATCCTTACATATGTTCTTTTTCCAATTTTTTTCTGTTCAATGGAATACAGCAGGGTGTTTGTTTTTCTCGGACGACTTGTACGTTTTTTTTTAATTATTATTATTGATTTTTGTGCAGCGAATTTGCATACGTGATTCGTGTTTCCACATAGAAAAGAACAAGATAACTGTTGTGTTGATATACATTTATAGATATGTTTATTTCTTCTGGAAGACACCATACAATATACTACAAGTTCACAAAAACAAAGAGTGCGACTCTTGAGAGAGAGAGAGAGAGAGAGAGAGAGAGAATAAGAAATGATACAAAATGCAACCGATACGTAAATAAATATGCATTACTCACAACAAGAACAACAACAACAAAATGAATAGCCTCAGAACTATGGAATAAATAACCTCAGAAATAACTTTAAAGACAGAGAAATGTAGAAAAAAATTAATAATATGATGTACCTACTCTATAGATGAATTTCATATTGAAGCGAGAAATTAAAACTCGATGAGATATTAATGAAACGGTTAATTGTCATTTTTTGCAACTATTTTTATGTTGTTCTTTTTTTTTCAATTTTCAAATTGTTGTTCGTTCATTTTATTTCGGATAAATCGATTAGTTCACACATTATGTTTCTTGTACGAACTCATAGACAAACGATTACCAGAACAAAAACAAAAGGGAAACAATAGCAATAGCAATAGCAAATGAAAAATTTAAACGAAAACAACAACACAAAACCGAATAAGTGAATTTACATTAAATAAACAGAAGAAAATGGAAATAGTAAGACAGTTCAACTCAGGGTAACCAAAATCAAAATAACAATAACAAATTGGTATGAAATGTATACACACAAACATACGCTAATTAATACAATAGTCCTAATAAAAAGAATCAACTATTTTTTATTTGCGCTCATTGAATGAACAAAAGAAAAACATGACTCATACCCAGCCCCATCCCCAGCCCCATCCCCAGCCCCTCGTCATCGTAGCAACAGATCTATCTATATATTTTTTTTTCGTTTAATTTATCTCTTTCGCGTCAAAATTCGGTTTATTTTGGTCATTTCAAAGCGAACAAAAAAAAAATCGCCTCTTCGTTTTAATGGAGTCTTTTCTGTCCAAAAGTCCACACCAAAATGGAAAGAACATCTCTCGACGGAGAGAATGAGAGCATGGATTTTGTGTTAGTCATCCACAGTCACACAATGCGAAATGTGTGTGCACAATATTTTGCCTTATTCCATTATGCTTTCCAATGCGAACAAAATTTTAGTCTCTTGACAAGTTAGAGTAGTCCATGCTTATGAAAGAACAAAATAAAATAACGTAGAAGAAACAGAAGATTCACTGTGCTCTTGCAAAGCAGAAAATTAGTTTAAAGTAAAAAAAAACACACCAACACAACCACCACCACCACGTAATTGAATGAACTAAAGAAACCAAGTAAAATGAAGCCAAACGAATCGAAAATAGGAATCAAATAGAGCTAGACGACAAAAAGAAAACACAACTCAGACTCATATTCACCTGCATTTTATACACATGTATACAGTAACAAACAAAACTAATTGAACAAAGCTGAATTAATTATATATGTATAAAAAAACAAACAAATCAAACAACAAACTATACGAGGATATTATTATATATCTTATAAACTGATTTATACAGAAATCAAGCAAGACACATAAAGGAAACACATAAACAAGACTCTTAAATATTAGACAAAGAAAAACGACAACTAATTATGATGAAGAATAAAATGATTGAAGCAACCAACTTAAACAATTATTATATACTATTTGAATTATGAATAATGAAAATAACTGAACACATTTACCTAAGCCTATACATTTAAAACAAGAAAGAGAAAAATAATAGTGTAATATCGTTAAAAATAACAAAGCAAACAAACAAGTAAAATAGATAAAGATGACGAAAATCAAATGACAACCGATTCAAAAATCAAAGCTGAAGCATTCGATCTAATGAAAGAGAAAAAAATATGAATATATATGAGCCGCATTGTGTGTAAAACAGAGATAGCCGACAGAATATGTGTTATTTTGTTTATTATGATTTTGATTTTTTTTTTCGGAAGATTATAGGGAAAATATGGTATGATTTCATAGGATTAGGGAATATTTCCATGCGAAACACATCCAATTTGAAAAATCGGTAATTGCAACAAAAGATTAAGGAAAAGAACCATTTTTATGTGGAAAAAAAAGACAAACTCCCATTCGGTTTACTGTATGCAAAATGCAAGTTAACACATAAGTAAAAGAAAAAAGATTAAAATAATGAAGAACATGCAGTAGTTGTTATGAACGATAAAAATGATGACCTATATTTAGCTCTAAGACTTATAGCAAAAAGAAGAAGAAAAAAAAAACAACTGAAAAAAGAACACACACATAAAATATGAATAAACTGGCTGAATATTGAACAGAGATAACTTGACCACATGCGGTGGGCGGAAAATGAATGAATAAAGAAAATATTTGTTACTTATGCATTTACTATTATTACACCTAACAATTGATATACGGACTATTGATTAAAAATAAATAAAAAAATTACTATATATACATATTTAGAACGTTAATGTGTTAAAAGTGTAGACTATATTTCCAAATGAACACATTTATATTTGAATCATTTGAACAAGGCACTTGTTGCGAACTGATCAAAAACTGGGCGAAATCACACATACACACACACACACACACATATTTGATATTCCAAAAGTAGAAAAGTGAAGAAAAAACTGGAGAAAAATCGATCGTTGGTGTTTGACAAGCGCAGCCACGTGCGCGGTTTAGAATGTAAAAAGTCAAAAGTGATTGTGTTTTGAAACAAACGATAAAAATTGGCACTTTTGTATTGAATATGTAGATCCAGACTGATCTGAGAAAATAATGGCCAGAATTGTAGTTTTCCAAAATATGTGTGCGAAAAAACCGAACAAAAGTAACAGAATTGTGTAAAATTTTAAACAGTAAAATCGATGAATCGGACTAAAAAGAGAAACAAGTAAATGAACACCAGCAGCATGATCGTCTTATGATTATATAAAGTAGTAAGACAAGGGAATCTAAATAAATGTAAACATGGGTGAGATATTGTTAATTTTTTTCTTCTTCTTCTTTTATTTTTTTTTTTTTGGTCAGTTAAAATAAAGGTGAATGGACTTTTTTGTGGTAGCAAATACATCCGGGGGAAAACCGTATTGATTTCTTTGTTTTTAGACACATTCTAGGCAATTAATTCTTTAATGTTTTTTTCTTCATTATTCAGTTTTTCACAACAATACATAAACGAAATGTTAATAAATGAAAATGCTGGCGAATGAGAAAATCTTATTAGCTATATTTCTAATGAATAATAACCTAAAATTAGATACATTTCTTACGACAAACAGAAAAAAAATTGAACAACAACAAGCATCTAGCATACATATGAAATTCATATGCCAGAAAACCACTTAAGATTGCAAGCAAAAAATAAATTAATTAAACATACTAAGGAACAATGTCAGAAAGAGAAGAAAAACAGAATAAAGTAAAAGAAAATTAAAAACGAAAACTTATAAAGTAGATCACGAGCTAAAACTATTAAATAACTATTTACTAAGATGGAAAAAAAACACACACACCCACAAAAAATGACATCAAAAATCAAAAAAAGAATAATTCAAACATTATCAATTTCGTTGATTTGCCAATTAAAGGTGACAAGAAAACGGGCAAAATTCTGAATCAGCACGAATATTCAAGACACCTTCAAAACTGAATTTATCTCTGTATTATTTGAGATGCAAGGGCTTGAGCATTGGCGCATATTCATATGATTTTTTTTTTATTTATATTTGCAAAAAAACATGAAATCGATTAATCAAAATTTATATCTTTTTTTTCCTCTATAAATTTAAGTTTTATTGGCTTAAAAGAAAAACATATGAAAGGTGAAAACAGTGAAAATGTTTAAAGAACAAGATGAAAAATTGTATACCGAACGATATGCACACAAACACACGCACGTACACATGAAATCAGCCGAATAAACTAATTCCACGTTGTCATTTGGTATGCGCATGCAGTCGCCCGTCAACCAAATGTCCAATGCAAAATTCAAAAATAGATGCCTTTTTGTACGTTGGAATGTTGCACTTTTACGAATTCACGGCAGCTTGTTTCGACTGTTTTCTTTTCTCCTTTTATTTTTAATATAGAATTCACGCTGAATTTTGCATTTTGAACAATCGGTTGTTTGGTTCGCGCGACAACAGAATATCGTCTGTATCACTCACTCAATCTTGTCACAGTCAGTCTCTCAATTGGCATGGGCTCGAAACACGCGCTGTGATTGCGTGTTGTGTGCATCTCGTTCATTTATATATGTGTTAGCTTTTATTTTGAAGAAAAAAAAATTTAAACTGTTTCGAAACGAATAGATCAATGAACGTTAGAAACAAATTGATTCATATTTACACAATTTATACTTTTTTTTCGGCGATAATATCCAATCGCTTTATCATTAGGTAAATAAAAAAGAGAGAGAGAAAAAAAACAGAGCAAAATTATTCGCAGAAAAAATGCATTAAACTTAAAATGAAAAAAAAGAAAAACACACACACACAGCAAAAAAGTAAAAGAAAATTATGTTTTTTTCTTCTCGGAAATGTGAAAATCGGTTGTCGAGATGTCACATTCATTTCTCCTCTATTGATTTATTTTTTTTATTACATTTATGATATATATCATTTATATTATTGAATAATAAACAGATTGACTCTATTATTATTTTCACTAGATATGTTAATCATTTAATCTGTTTTATTTTTTCTGCTCTACATATTTTTATGATTATTTTCCAACACACGATTGTACTTTGTTTAACTCTTGATTTCTCTTATATTCTAAATATATGATACTTATAAAACAAATAAAAAAAAACAAAACAAATCCAGTTTTTATGATTTTTTGCGATGGTGCAAGCCATAACAATCTATACCAGATTAGATCGATGTGCTGACGGAGAGAGTGCAGTGCACTCTCAGTATATGTGCATGTGTGCCATACCGGCACATGCACACGCCCTGCAATTGCAATTCGGTAAGGATAAATTGTCTGTACACAATAAGTACGCACGTGACAAGGTCATGGCAACGATGGTATTCATCTAACGTGTTAACCACTTTTACTATTCATTCGCATAATTCGGCATCGAAAATTTCCTACTCTCTCTGTATGTATGTCTGTCTGCCTGCCTTTCTTCAGTCTCTCGTTTTCATTTCTCTTTATGCCACACCGGCAGACAGACAATGTGTGTGTGTAAAAGAAGCGATGAAAACATATTACCGCACCAAAATGGGTTGCATAACGAAAAGGAAAATACTCGTAGGGCGATCATATGTGCGCCAAAGCACACGACAAACAAATAAAATAAACAAAAACAGAGAGATGAGGAGAGAGAGACAGAGAAGACGATGATGATGATGATGATGATGAGAGAAAAAGCTGAATGGCAGAAGCAAAACGAAAACATAAAATCTATGTTTATTCGGCCCTCTCTCTCTTTCTCTGTGTGTGCTGGCTGGTAAGTAAGCGCTCGCGCGCACGCGACCCAGCACTCGCATAGATTCCGAATCATAAAAAGAGCGTGGTGTGTAAAAACGAGAGATTGCTTTTACAGTTAGGTCGTTTCGTTGCTTTTTCCCTTTTGCGGTCGTTTCGCTAGACGAGAAAAACAGAAAAGCATCAAAATAACAACGTGCTACACAGCACACAAAATTGAAAGAAAAACAGAGAAGATGATGCAAAAATCAGAAAAGAAAGGAAGAGAAGAGAAGAAAACAACAACAACAACAACAACAGCACATAACGC